TCAGAGAGATCAAAATCAAAAGTGGAGGTTAGGAAATGAATCAATTAGTTTTAATAAAGACAATATTTCGCTAGGTAACTCAAAATGGCCTTATATACAAAGATTATACGAATTAATAGTCTTCAATTGGCCAAAAAATTATAATGACAATGATTTGAAAATGTATAAAGAAATATTGTTAAAGACAAGTGTGCATAGAAGAAATTATCAAGCTAACGGACAAATTCGACTAAATTGATCAAAAAAATAAAAAAATATTATTAAGAAACTTATTAAAGACTATAAGGGAAAAGGATTAATGAAGCTAAAATGAAAAAGATAAATTATGTATACTGGAATGAACCTAACGAATTAGTAGATAGATTACGTCTTTTAATTTCATCAACAGCAGCCGGACACTCAAATCATAATAATGAAATTGTTTCTATTATTGAAGAATTGAGAGAAGCAAAGATTATTATATAAATACATAACATAATATTAACTTATTAGTATTAATAAAATGCCCGTTGATAAGTTTGGTCACTACTTTATTCAAGGTGTGAAAAGACATCCTAAAGAGAACATTGGATTCCAATTGGATAGTGATGAACATTTAAATTTCAGCTTGAGAATAATTAAAAAAATTGGCAATCGTTCTCTTAAAAATGATGCAGTCAATGAAGGATATCTAGAAGTTATGATTCAGAACAATTCTAAAGAAATAATTAAACAATTAACACAAAAAAATATTGATATAGAATAGTAAGACTTAATAAAGCAATAGAAGAACAAAGGAAAGTACAAATTAATTTAGAAGAAGTAATACTAGTAATAATATAAAATTGAGTTCTCTATAGAAACTGTTAATAATTTAATTAAGACCTCCGAAAACCGACTTAATAAAATAATACAAAATAATAAAGAGTCCTTTGAAACTAAACTAGACCGCATTGATTCAGTTCTTAATCAATTAAAACAGAAAAATGGAACGTCTTCAACTAGTAGAAGAACTTCATAAACAAGCTCGCAGACACTTTAAACGCCGTCGAGTAATAATAAAAGGAATATACGATCTTTGGCAAGCGGATATTGTTCAGATGAATGCTAATTCAAAATTTAATAAAGGATATAAGTTTATTTTAACTGTAGTAGATACATTCTCAAAGTATGCGTGGGCAGTTGCAATTAAATCGAAAGGAAGTGAAGATATTACTAAAGCGATGCATGGATTTTTTTTTAGAAAAAAGAAGAACTTGCAAACGGATAACGGTAAGGAGTTTTATAATAAAAAATTTCAAAATTTGATGAGAAAGTATAATATTAATCATTATTCAACATATAGTATAATGAAAGC